TAAGCTCAATATTTTGTGTTCTAGACTAAATAATTGAAAAGAGATGTAATTCCTCATTTGTCACAAGATGGTCTTAATACCGTATCTTAATACAATTGCTTAAAATTAAAAAATAAAGCATAGATATCAACATGTATGCGCTCACCATGTTTTCCTTATGTGAAATAAAGGGCTAAGGATGCAGTGAATAGATTAAAGTAAGAGTTTACAAAATCCAGTTGAAATTACTGAACCGAGGCACTGGGTACGTTTTCTATTAAAGATTATCACTGATTAGGAAAATATGTAATGGTACTAGTAGTTGATACGATATTACTTACCTAAGGTAGGCAGTGAATCCATCTTCTACGTTGTCATCGTCCCAGGCATCGCTCCATACTTGCAAATCAGAATGGTCTTCCTCGAAAGTGGACCAATCTAATGACGAGTAGTATATAAAAATAACGCAGTGGAGAGGGCCAAAATAGAATTAGATATAAAATTTAATTATACATGACGAATTAAAGCCCAAATGTAAGAGAAGATTGATTAAATCAGGACGAAATACAAAATATAAACGTACCAAGAATTTATTGTAAAATGTTTTTAAAATGTGATGAAAGTTCTTAAAATTAACGATGATATGATTAGAAAAAATATTTATCCTTTACTAAAATATGCAATTTCAAAAGTTTTAAAAGTATACTAGTACCTAAAGGCTAGAGTTTAACTAATAATGAAGAGAGCACTCAGTTGCTATCTGGGCAGGTAAAGTCAACTCCATCCAGACTTCGAGAACCAAAAAAGCAAAGCCCAAATATCGTATATTCATATAATTCAGGATTAATACCTCCAACAAGAAACGTAGGCGTGTGTGATTATAAATCCGCGCGGAGTTATAGACTATCTAAAGAATGAAAATTCGAGGAAATGGACTAAGCAGTTTAGAAATAACAATAGCTTGTACAAAAGTGTCAAAGAATTGAATGATAAAAATCACCTTAAGAAGGATTTTATTCAGTAACTTCAATGAGATGTATTCACATTACTGGGGATAATTTGGCTAGTCCGTTTCATCAAAAGATTAAAAGTGATTGATTGCGGTAAGTGTGGAAATTATTGGTAAAGGTCCCCATAGGTATGCGCAGTTTCACCAAGATTGAAGACCATCCCACTAATCTCGTCAAAGTATAGTCTTTAGGTGCCTACGAGCAGCAAAATCTACGAAGTTTAAGGATGAAAATAAGAATTCGATGTGGCATAATGTACCGGAAAGTCAAAAAAGGTGAAATGTTGATCAATTGATTTATTATGGAAATGAAAGCGGTCATAGACCCATAGTAATGGCACAATATGAAACGACTACATTGCAAGTTTAAACGCTCAATCAAAATTGCACTTGCTGCCTGAAGATTTGCCTACCATATGGACCTGCAATAAACTAATTCTACTCCTTTTCACTATATTAATGATTCTCGTTACATGGCATTCGCAAATATATTCCAATAATACCACTTTACAAAAATGCATTGTATCATTAACTAAGGCAACCCATATTTTGGATGTCATTTGAGCGCCGTCTCCAACATACTCCACTTCTACGTGCTCCGCTTGCTCTCTCATATCTGCACCTGCCAGATGGTATAAGCGGTGGAATCTTGTGAAAGGAGGATCGAGCTCACTTAGCGTTTATCAGCGTCTAGCTCTTAAGGCAAAGTCCTCAAACGAACGTGTCGATGAGTCCAAATCTACATGAATAACCTTGCTCCACTGAAGCAAAGTGACTCAGTTCAAATCAATGCAGCCTATCTGCATTGTCTCATTTTAATCATGGAGTCCTTTTCATGTGGCTAGAAAACTTCCAGCAAACTGTCTCGGTTGTCCTCTTCCACATCCCCTCCTCTCGCTATCATTTTGTTCATCCATATTCATCACAGGCACACACAAGCTTCACTTGCATTACAAAAAACTAGCTTAGTACACCTGATCCGTATGATTCTTCAGCACCACATTTTTCCATATATCTTTCCTATCTGTCTCAGGATAGACGACATGATATTATATGTCTAAAATAAATGAGATCATTTCAACCATGACCAAATTCGATAGCAAATGCAGAGTTCTAAGTAAAAGAACAATCCATATCTGATCTAACAAAAAAGCTGAGTAAAAGGCATGCGTATTTAAGTGTTTGTAGCTGAAAGATAACGAAAAAATATTTTAACCAAACTAAATACAAAGTAATTTAGAATAACTATATAAAATATAGAATAGGAATTGACGAATTTTGAGTAAACGATATGATAATTTTGCAGGAATCAGATGATTAAAGGCTTGTAGGATTTATACATATGTAACCAAAATGCCATAAAAGATATAATTATTTCGATATAAATAATATCCCCCAACATTATTTTATAGTAATAGTTTCTTGAAATATAACTACCGAACTAAAATACCTGCTTTAAAATAAATTATTTTTGATTATATTTAATGAAAATGGAAAAGTGATCTATACTGGTCACCCAGCAATAAGCGATTAATAGTAAAATCTTATGATGAATAAATAATGTTAAATTTTTTTAAAATATGATTTTATCCATACTTTCGGTATCAAATTCCTCGAACTCATTGTCATCTTTCAACTTCAGAAAGTCTTCCACATCCTGGCCTGGTTCTCGAGCTGGACCGCCTTCAGAAGCTTCAGAGAAAGATGGTGAGGCCATTGGTGGTAAGAAAGAATCTGTGGGTAAAAACAAATATTCAAGCAAAATAGAACGTCCTAGCAACGCCAGTTGGAGCTATTTTACTGCTTGAGGAAGCTTAAAATAAAGCAAAATGACCATTAATAACTTAGCTGTGATTAGCACCTGAATTAGGAAACAAGAATGAATGACACAAACGAAAGCTCATTCAGTTTATCATCGTCAATACTTGCTGCTAAAAATAGAATAGAATGGCTATAAATACCATTGTATATTTATCTATGCTTATATATTTTCCAATTTTAGTTTTGAGTATATATAAAAGGATTTGCTCATTTGCCGGCCATCCTTCCTAATTTAGTGTTAAGGGAAACATCTACAAGAATGAGTTCCAGCTTTGATGATGTCCATCATGTGATGGACGCAAGCCCAGCCTGTTTTCATTCGAAACGAGAATGTCTCGTAGATTGCGTCAACCTCAACGTCGTATTAAAGTCAAACGGCTACAGTACAACGGGAATCAGCCATCGTCTTCTGATGAGATGAACCCTCGAGTCACTTTATTAACAATTTTATCTTGGGAGATTCGTCGAAACCCAGTTACTCTCCGTATCTAAATAAGAGCTAAAAATGCAGTATGATAACTAACTATCACTTTCCAATTAAGATACGAACGTGCATATTTAAAGGAAAAATCCTTTAAAATTTAAAGAGAGAATTCATAAAGATCCTCGGCAATGTTAAGAAATGCTTATTGATATATGCTCTGACGTTATTTTCGCAAATTGGTCGCGTGTTCAGGGCAACCTCGTTGGAACGTGGGCGTATTTCATCCCAGACGTGCCAACAAAGTCAGTGAGTCCTGCCATTTGCAGCATCAAGCTACTACTGGTAAGAGACAAGTAGAGCAAATCCTCTGGCCAACAATTTGCTGAACGGTTATGTTATACCTCCACCTCCTGTCATGTTACAGCTAACAACTACCTATCGTTCTATTTCATTGCCATCCTATCACAACTTCCAAATAGTTTATATCATGAGATGTATTCACCCTAATTCGTTTAAGGTGATGAAGGACTGATAGTAGAATCTTATAAAGATGTATCCTTTTTTGGCCTCGATTTTCAATAATTTTAGACCTGACTTGGACCTCCTACTCGGATCTTCATGATGGACCTGAAGATTGATTTCTTACCTTACTGGCTGACTGAGTTCAATACTTTCTAGTCACAGTACATGTGTTACTCCAAGCCCTATTTTTCAGTCTACTACCCGCCTCTAGTGACATGTATACCGTGGCCTTAACGAGCAAAGTGCCCATGCACTGAAGCATTTGTTTTCAGATATCAGGCATTGTCTAAGATGTTCAAATCTATTATTAAACTCGTGAACCCTGAGAAAACTGTAAGTCGATCTCTGGTTTCTTGCTGCATCTCGAGTAGATTCCTAGTCACGTTGGCTCCGATCTACTAGTCATAATGAGGAATTCCTGTAAGGTCCGTCTCCATATTCCTGTGATTAGGCCCATAAAGTTGTAGTTGCTTCTTCGATCAGACTAAACCCATTGAAAACGGCTTCATTTGATTTTCCAATGATTCTCACCTGCTTTTTCTCTGGTTAAAGATCGGTCCCTGTTAAACCGTCTCCTTTTTGCTATTTTTGCCTCAACCTTGTTTGCTCCAAATCTTCACAGGGAATAGGCAAAGTTATCGATAACTATATTTTCTTTATTATCTCATCTTCATTAAATTCGTTTCAGCAGGGATGTCATTTACCTCCTTAATATTCCGTTCTCTACTACTACCAAAAGCCATACCGTCTAGGTCTTCATATTTAAGTTTTATTCTTCGTATCTTTACCCTATGGCCCTTCTAGTTTTACCTTCCAGTGTCCAGTCTGTACAATGTATTTCGCCATCGACTCTCAAAGGTCGTAGTATTATTTTTCTTGACTATCTCTTCCCGATAAATATCCGAATCAATGTTTCCTATTCTTCACCCAAGAAGTGCACGTCCATTAACGGGATAAGAACGGATCGAAGCTTTGAAAGCAAGTGAAATACGAGAATAGAGAGTTGGCAGATCTAATATGACAAAAGAAGTGATGACACAACTGTTCTGCAAAAGGTTGGTAAAGAGATAGACTTTATTTGTCTCTGACGAAGTGTAGATTGGTATTAAGAATGACAAGGCTCAATAAAGATTCTAGTGAAATGCCTGGGAGTGTACCAATTCTATTGTCCAACTCTAGGTATTATCATAATTATTATGGCAGAGGACTTCGAAAAAGGTGCGTCGAACTATTCACTTGTTTCTAACGAGTTCGTAGCTTGGTGCGGAGAATAGCAAAACTCACTGACGATGCCGGCGAAACGTTCGAGAATGTACCAAGTCCATTATCTGATGCTGGGAATCATGATAACTGCTATGGCAGACGATTTCGGACTAGGTGTGCTCTACTAAGTCCCCCTGACAACAAGATCAAGTTGCGACGAGGTCAACCCACTTCTAAAAATCGAAAGGAGACTGCGACCAGAGGCCCCAACATCTTGGTCTTCATATCTTCAATTAAATTACGGTAGTAAAATTGCCAAACAATGGACTGAATAAAGCGTGACAAAGAAGACAATTGTGAGTCAGCCTTGCCATATTCCTTTTTTAAACTTTTCTAAACGTTATAGTATCACAGAAGTCGAAAGGAGACTGCGAC